AAATATTTTCTTTGACAAAAAGCAAATGAAAAAATATAAGAACTAAGAGATTTTTGTATACAAATTGTTTCTGGAAAGATTACAATTTTAATTGGGTTCAAATCACCTTTTTCAATCCCTACTATTAGTTCATTCTCTCCTTAAATATATATATAACTTGTTAAAATTTTCAATCGTTAACAAAATATTTTCTATTCATCCATTCAAGATCAAATACATTTTTTAAAACTTGTAGTGGATGACTCTTGATGTTAATACAGTTTTTCTAAATATTCATTCATAAACTAAATTAAAGAATGAATAAATAGTAACAAATAAAAATAATACTCTAACAGCATATATAGAAAGGAAAATCGTTCGGTAGTGTCCCTGTAGCGCAATGACTATCGTGTTGGACGTCTAATCCAGAGGTCGTGGGTTCAAATTTCACCTGGGATGGTCTAATTTCTGAGGATGTGATCTCTTTTTTACTATAATATTTTATTATAATAATTCAATTCATTTTAATTTATGAATAAACAGTAACAAACAAAAAATAGTCCAACATCATAAGAGAAAGGAAAATGGTTTCTATTTTGTCACTTAATATTGTGATTCTATCGTATGTATATACATATTTATATTAATTGTAACTATTTAATAAAAAGCAACTAAAATAAAAATTTTATTTGTTGACCTAAGTAGTAATTGACTTAAATTTTTTTTTATAATACTTGTTTTAGTACAGACACTAATTTTCTTTTGAAAATGACAAACTCAATACATGTAAAAATTATTTATTCCTCCATTTTAGAACCATTTTTTTTTCTTCTTTTTTCCTTTGACAAACATTAAAATATCAATTTCAAATCTCCTTCTGGAGTTAAAATCTAGAAGCAAAAAACAAATTGCTCAAATTTCACGTGATATTTTCTGATGTGAAAGTGTGATTTCTTCCTTCCATTCTTTGCAGAATATTCCGCGCAGATGTTACAGATTTTATTTTTCATCAGATCTGATATGTGTAAAGAATAATAGTCTTTTCTTTCATCATAAAAATAAATCTTCAAGGAAACACTCGTATACCTTGAATTTAGTTACATTATATATATATATATATAGTCATTGATATAATTTTAACATATAAAAAAATTTCGGTATATTTTCAAAAATGTTATCTCAGATTTTGCCCCAGCGATTCCGGATGTTCCGGTGACAGATTGCCTCTCATGTGATGACAGCAATTTTGTTGAATCTAAATTCATAGTTATTTTCTTTTACATGTTATCGTTAATTTTTCTTTTTGTTAAAAGGTGCAACAATTTAGAGTATTGTTGTATTTGTTAATCTGCTATTGTTCCTCTTGTTCCCTCAGAACATTGATAGGACTAATTTGAACAAACCACTTTCTACTCTTAAAAAGTTACTCTATTTTAAATTAATTTTACAAATGTTCTGATAATGTGTAATTTGATGAGCACAGTATTCATTGTTTAAGGTATCAAACTACTTGTGATAACTTTTTAAAAAAAAAGGAGATATGGGGAATTTTTTGTGGTTTTTTGATTTGTTTAGTACATTTTGAGAAAAATATGCTAAAATTAGGAAGAGAAAAAGAAATTATATTATTACTAAAAGGGGAAAAAATTGGTAAAAATTTACAAAAAAATAATAGAAATGGGGCCCACAGTGTACCAAAAGTTTATGAATATATTTTCAATTTTTTCAATTCTGATGTGTTGCTATGTTAATCATTTTTGAAATGACTTTCAGGATAAGAGGTATTTTAATTTTTGCAGAAACTAGAGCATTTTATCTTAGTTGTTATATGAAATTGCTTAAAATAACAGTGATTATATTAACATAAGGGACTGTAAATTTTGTAATAAAACAGTGGTTGATAAATCTGAAGGTTAAAACACTTCTACTATCATACAGAACATACGCAAAAAATTTCAGTTAATTATTTTCAAAACTCTTTCAGCAATGGCTGTACCCGTTTGAGCATTTCCAAAAAAACACATTTCGAGTAAAACAAAGTATGACATCTTGCTTAAAGTAATGGCATTTGCTTTTACTAAAACATTTGTAGTTTTTGTTCTAGTGAACGGAAAATAATAAATTTGTTATTTTTATGAAGCTAATAAGATGGTCTATAAAAAATAATCATAAAAAAGTTATCAATTTTTGGCAAAATTAACACAATTTTTCTTTTCTTTCTTTTATTTTTTTAACATAAGAAAATTATTTTTTTCAAAATTATCAATAAAAAAATAAATATTTGTAAGATATACATGTAAAATTCCTATTAAACCTCAAAGAACAGAAAATAAATATAATATCTTTCAAAAATTTGAACGAATTTGTTTTGCTTTTTTTATCGTGAGAAGTAATTAAATGTCAGATTTCTTTTTCGCGGTCAATGTGTTTTTGTATTAAACAATTTAAATCCTCGTTGTTTAAATATCTTTTCAGTAAAAAAATTAAGTTAATGCTGATACTTTTATCTATACATCTATACAAATAAATAAAATTGAAGTGTCTGTTTGTAATTTCAAATTAGCAGCTTTTTACTAAATGCATTTAAAGGTATATACGGTACTTATATCAAAAAATCAATTTTTTAAATTTTTGTTTGTCTGTCTGTCTGTCTGTCTGTCGGTCTGTCTGTTTGTTCCGGCTAATCTCGGGAACTTCTGGTCCGATTTTAAAAATTCTTTCACCAATGGAAAGCTACATTATCAGCAAGTAACATAAGATATATTTTATCTCAATATTTCTACAAGAACAGGAACTATGCGGGTAAAACGTTGACATTGCTTACTCCCCGCCAAGTTGGCGCAAAATTATGCATTTGTTAACAATGGGATTTTAATAAAAAAATTCTCACATTTGTAACAAATAACTGAAACATAGTGTAATTTAGCATCTTTACAAAAAGCAGTTTTTAAATGGTTTTTTATTAAACGTCTAACGTTTATTACGTTACGTTTGTTAAATGTCAAACTCAAACTTTGAGAAATATCGCCAAGTTGGCGAAGAAGTTCTCTATTCCGACAATCCCAGATATTTTAATGCAAATTTTCTCCCACTTTTAAAAGCGGGAAACGAAATAAAGTTTTAGCGAATTGCGTGCGCGTGATATTGAAAATTCTATGGTAACATTAATTGACAGTTTCATAAAAAGCTTTGATTACTTTAGTATAGTTTTGAAAGTATTTATTACTTTGATTTTTTTTAACCTAATTATACAATTTTCATATTTTGCACAAAATTTTTCACTTATACTGAACCAGATATTTTACATGGAGGTATTACTTTGAAGATATACTATGGAGGCATCCATACAATGTCACTCGCCGAATAAAATTAGGGAGCTTTACGCAATACTTATTACATCTTCGGTCTTTCTAATCCTCAAACCTTTTGGAATAAGTACAAAGACTACATGGCGGAAGATATTATGCGACGAAAAACAACCAAATATGCCTTTCAATGAACATATTTGCAACGAAACGTAATAAAGGTTTTCAGAATGGTTAGGAAGAAGCTACATGATTTTGGAATGATTAGCCCTAAACGCGTCGACGGAAATGGCTTCGATAATTAAATTACTTGAGAATTAAACCACGATTTTATAGCATTGCAACATCAAGTAACAGAATTTACCCCTCAATTAACTCCAGAACAAAGTCATGTATTCCAACAAGTGTACGCAAAATAGAATCCGGCAGTGGTGCACTCTTTTTTTCTCGAGGCCCCTGGAGGAACAGGAAAAACATTTTAGCAAAACTTATTACTAATGACCATCAGAAAAACCCAGAAGATAGCAGTTGCTATGGCTTCATCTGGTATAGCCGCGATTTTACTGACCAACGGTCGTACTGCACATTTTAAATTTTATTGGTTCCAGTCAAACAATAAAAAAAATTACCATATTGTATTATTTACTTTCCAATGATAATGATTACGACTTTGACTGTTATTTAAAGACATCAACGCGAGCGGAGCCGCGGGTAAAAGCTAGTCACTCTATAAAACTAGTGAAAATTATTCAACTGGTCTGTAACATTTATTCGAGGCAATTTAAAAAACGGTGTATAATTATTAATTCTACAAACAAAAATATTTACTTGAGCTAACATTTTTTTTAGAAAAATATTTCATTATCCTATTTTTAACAAAAATTAAAGGAACTCAAAGATAAAAATAAACTCAACTTTTGTAAAAAAAAAATATCACTTAATAGAATAATTCTGTATAAATATGTAATATTTAAATTCTACGAGATACTAAATGGAAAAATGGTAACTTTAAGAAAACTTGCCAATAAGCTTCTTTTTCATAAAAAAAAACTTTCCATGGTAAAAAAAGAAAAAGAATTTCGCCCCTTTTAACTTAGGCATTCGTTTAGTTAGTAAGTTTCTTTTTCTCACAATATTTTTAATGAATTTTTGTCTTGATTCTGAATTGATTTATTGATTGATCTGTGACGGCCTGGCGTTGTACTTCAAAGTAACACGAGATTATCTTGCCAGTGAATCTTGCGGTATGAACCTAGAGCAAATGACAAGGAGGGCATCTGAGTTAGCACCACCTCCTCAAACTTCCACACAGCGTAGACGTGAGGATTTACCTTGGTTCTGAGAAATAAGGTTAAGGCTATAAATAACCAAAAGATATATTTTTATTTTATTTCACTTTCGCAGAAGCTAATCACTTCTGATAAGAGTGGAAAACAAATATCTATACAACGCGTGTATCCCCCTTTATTTGCGGTTACTAATGCCACCTGAGCGAGGACTACGAAATTCATCATGGCAAAGGGCTTAATGACACCTGTCGTTAGCCGTAGCTTTGAGCATCATACAGGTGACAGTACGATTAAGTTCGTTTCTACCCCAATTTTGAGGGAGAACACCCTGGGGAATCAGGATTTCCCCCTCTCTTCTACTTCCACCAATCTCACTAGAGGACTTACTTCTCAATGGCTATTAACCCTCATGCCGCGAAGGTACTTCGATGCATTAACAAAAAACATTCATGCCTTCTTCGGGATTTGAACCCAGGCCTTACAGAACAGCAGTCAGCGTCGCTAACCACTATACCGGATGGGTGACCCACTTTGTTTAAAAGGTATCATATATATTAGAGAACACAATTAGAATATATGATATTAGCACGTAATTACTTAAAAAGGTTACATTCAGCATTAACATGCATTTTAAGTTAGTGTCAAGTTAATTCAAACGCTAATAATTGCAAAAGAGAAATTTCGCATTTTAGGTAGTAGATACTATTTTGATCACAATAAGTTTTGTAACTTTTACGTTGAGAGTAGTTAGAAGGAAGTATAGTTTGTCTCAAGTCATCATTATGCATTTTTCCTTGCCTAAAGGATCATGTTTGAAGAAACGCGTTTTACAGCAACAACCTTGAGTGTTCAATTACTTTCTTAA